TGAGTTGTCAAAAAGACCAGAAGTGGAGAGCAAAACAGGAAGTTTTTCACACTCGATGCACAAGAAGCATAGATGATTGAGAAATCCTGTATACAATGATTGACAGGGACACAATTGTTTCCTTCTTGCAACAGTGGGCTCAGTTGTCACAATGGAGACACCRGTATCTGTTGGGAAACATTATCTGTGACTTTTCGTCACAACATGTTTGAAATTTAAAAGAAAGGTGTGASATAACAAAATGTCCTCAGACAAAACACATCAGTAAAGGTTTTAGAGAAATGCAACTKTTGCTGATGATTTATCTGTGAAAACACCCACGAGTTCTATAATTAATAATATTTAAGTCTCAAGTAGTAGGCCTAGGTGTAAACAATTAAGACACATATATTCTAGACTTACAAATATGTTATAATTAGAAATCAAAACTTGTAGTTTCTACTTCTTTCCAAAAGAGGGCACTGTTTCATCACATACAGAATGAATATGTGTTCTTGAGTCTGTGCTAGACGAAAGTAGGCTAAACAAATACATATACAGTACACTGTAGTTCACAGTACTAGACTGAGATTCGAATATGAGACTCTGCATTCACAGAAGAAAGATTTATGGAAAATATTCAGGCGACAGACACGTTTTTCTCCTTGATGTTCACACAAGAGTAAATCAGCTTTAGCTCTTCAGACTTTGGACATACTAAACTTTTTTGAAACATTTATTTAAACTTATCAAAACTTCATGCAAAATACATTTTTTAAATTATTGTATTGTCCCACAACAATAAGCAGACTCCATTAGTTTGATATGTCACATTTATGCCACAATTAAATTACAGAAAGCAACATTTTTAATTAGTTGCATTCCCTGCTGAAACTGTAGAACAGGATATCACTTAAACACCTCCCTCATTAAKGCACACCAGGCTGTCAGTAAACATATAAGGCTTGTCTATTTATTTCTGCTGAGTGCATTTGGTTTTAAGATGAGAATAGTTTGTCTGTTTGCTTGGAATGTCAGTTCAGACCCATTGTTGTAGCTACTGCTTTAATTGTAATATTTTGATACATCTAATAATATTACAATTTAAACTTTTATTCTCTGTTGTTCTTGCATGAAAAAACATATAAATCCTTTATACATTTTGCTGAAAATAAAAGGACTAGAAATGTCACAGACACGTTGGAAAGCATTTTTGCCAAAGCCTAGAATTTTTGAAGAAATACATATACTGCTTTTTGTGCCAGAGTTTTTGTAGAGTTAAATTGCCTATTGTTAAGAAATGACAAATTTATATTAATTTTAGTCCAACCTTAAAAATACCATTATATGTAAATTTATACTATATCTTTAAAAAATGAACTCAATTGACTGTCTTTATTTCGAAAAATGTTACTGAATAATAGTGTCAGTAGGCWGTCTGGTTACATTTTAGTAATTAGTTTTTTTGTAATTATTTTTCCGTGTTTTGGAATTCTTGTGTTTGAGTTCTGTTACTTGTGTTTTATCTACTATGTTTATTTTGTGATTTTTGTTTCGATTTACAAAGTTCAGGATCCTGATCAGTCAGTTTGTTTTCTTAAGTGCCACTTCTGTTCATGCTCCGCCCACTCCCACCTGTCCCCAGTTGTCTTCATGCCAGACGTTTTCACTACAGTATATTCATCAACCTTGGTCCATATATTCCAGCAGTCTCCTTTTCTCTTTCAGTTGAGTATTATGCATTTTTACATGCCATGTCTGGGTTTGGGTCTTGGGGCATGGTGGCTCAGTTGGTTGAGATGTTGCCTCTCAGCAAGAAGGTTGTTGGATTAAATCCCAGGCAGGAACCCTTCTGTGTGGTGTTTGCATGTTCTCTCTGCACTTGCATAGGTTTTCTCAAGGCATTCCAATTGTCTCCCTTTGGTAACTAAATTGTTCCTAGGAGTGAGAGAGTGAATGGTTGTTTGTCAAGTGTGTCCCATGCCCCTTGCACAGTGACTGCTGGACGTGGGCCATCTTGAGTAGGATCAACTCTAAAAGATAATAGATAGATACAAACTTTATTTTAAAAGGGACAATGTACAACTCAAGCATAAATGTCACCATTTGATGTGCTGTACCAGATTATAACATATTTGCATCTTAAGTCTCTTAATCAGGTGTAGATGTAGCTTACACTTAATATCTACTTTCTGAAAGTTTCCTTAAAATGTGACTCCAAACACATTTGTGCTCAGGATGTGGGTTGTGGCTCAATCTCAAGCACAAGATTTTAGCTGGATATTTAAAAAAATTGCCTGAGTTTTAACCTTTTAGCACTTTTAATAGTCAGTTTGCTGTAGCAGATGTAAGTAAATCAGTTACTGCAATTACTTTCAGCCAGCTTTATTAAAATCTGTCCAGTGCTTCATGAYATATTATGCTAACAGATAGACACCCATTGCATAAGCACAGGCAAAAACATAGTTATCCATCTTTACCTTTTGTTTATGGGTCACCAATTGTAAAATACAGTGTTAAAAAATGTCACTAACTCATTTTCATTATTTATCTCACTTTCTTAATGTAAAAATTTAGCTAAATTTTTCCACTAATATTATATTATTTAGCTCTCTCTTCTTACATTTAGCTAATTTTTACTAAATGTTAAATTGAAATGATGATTTTAATATTACATGTACACACTAAATCCTAAGACTACATGTAAAAGTTAAATCTTGAATGTTGTGGTTAAATGTTGACATTTACATTTAAAGGGGCAATATCATGTAAAATCAACTTTTTTGAGTTTTATATCGTGTTATAATGTTATCCTCTCATCAAAAACATGCCCAGAGTCTTGCTTTGACTCATTTATGCATGTTTGAGAAATCCTGTGCTGTCCTGAGGCAGCCAGGCAGGGGAGCAAAAACGACCGATTGGGACTAGAACCACCTTTTGGGATCAGCTCCTCCTCTGGGCTGTGTCTCCAAGCTGAGCTTCCTAGAACACACACACACGCCATGTGCTGAAATGGGTGGGACAGAAGTGGAAGGAGGTTTTCAAAGAGACAGATGCCAATTTCAAGGTGTTTAGAAAAAGATATGATGAGAAGTCAAGTTTACAGCATTTTAATRACTGAAGGTGACATAGTTACTTTATTATCGTATAGATTTTAAATATATGCCTGAGAAACACATAATATTGCCCCTTTAAGTATTTTAGAATAGAATGCAGCCTTTGCTGTTGGTGCTTTTGTTATGATGTAATGCTAATGCTGCTAATGCTGCTATTGCTTCCCTACAAGACATCAAACTTATAGCAAGTATCTGAGCTGCTCTTCAAACTGCCATACCACAGGTATCATCCATATTGTTGTCAATGGACTCATTTTGAATTTAAATTTGAAACACCAGCTTCAGCAATGTTAGCAGCATTAGCAGTGTTAGCAGCGTTAGTGGTTGCTTTTGTCTCAGGGTGATGATGTCATACCAAGAGCTGAGCACCAATAGCAAAGGGTGCATTCTAATTCTGAAATAAATATGTATTTCAACATTTAGCCACAACATTCAAGATTTAACTTTTACATTTACAGTTTTTTTTTTTTGGTGGCATATTCGTTGTCAGGTGAAAATAAAAACAAAACATTCATATGATCCAAACAATATAATGAACAGCTCACAGTACATGTTTGTTGTAAAAAGTGACATTTTAACACAATCATCGAAATTATGAGGGTAYGGGATGATTACTGAGTGTGCAAAACCCCCTGTGGATGTAAGGCAAACTAAGTGCAGTTTTGGCAATCACAAATTCTTAGGGTGACRTTTGTTAATTAGAGTATGACAAACACAAGCCTTCTACCTGAAACATTCCCACTGAAGACTATGATTAAAAACTTCACACGCAGCCAATTAAAGCTAGGATCAAAAGGGGTTCTTCTGCAAAAAGACATCAGTACAATTAGTGCGGTGTGAGTGTGTGCTGACATGCAGGGGTTACACGCTGCAATTAGCTGCTCCGCGTACTGTCAGAGCATGAGATCAAAATAATACAACCCGTTTCTGCTTTGCAGGTAATTTTTGCACTTAGCAGGGCCGAATAAATTAGTGTTTAATTACTTCAAGGATGTATTCCATAACAAGAATCAGCTGCAAAACTGGGGTTTTGGGCTGAAATTCCTTGAAACAAAGTTAAAGTGTCTCCACACCTGTTGCACACACATATACACATGTGCAGGTTTAATTAAAACACAATGTCAGAGGATGACATTTCGAATCAGTACATGAAACACGCACCACAACAGCTGTCCAACAGACTTAAGATTGCTGAAAACGTCRGATGAAGAAAAGGTTTATCTGTTTGCTTTAGCCTCTGCTCAAGCTGGAACRTAATGAATCCCTCACATCTGAAGCTGAAGCAGGCACCCGGCCAACATTTGGTAGGTCARATGTTCATTTCACGCTCACCTCAGGGATGCATCTTCAAAAAAATAAATAAAAAAAACATCTAAAGGAAAATTGGACTGAAGCAAAACAATTACTGTACTTGTGCAAAAAAAAAGTTTTAAGACKGTTAAATGTAAAATAAAGCTCATGTCAGCTACAAAGATGAGTTAGCATTAAAAAAGTGACCTTTTCACATTTCCTGTTGATTTTTAGGTATAAGTCAAGCAAATGTTAATGACAAAAACTCTTATTTGTGTGGGAAAAGTGGGAGATAATGAACAGAAGAAAACACCAAAACACAAACAAGTTTCAAATTAAGAGAAGGAAGGGAAAAAAAACTGTTGCTTAGGAACAACCTCTGCTAAACCTGACTCCACCAGCCCCCTCCACCTTCCACCCTCAGCACACACACA